CACATGCCACCGCCGACGAATGTCAAACAGCTTCGGAGCCTTCTCGGTGGACTCAGCTGCTACAGGAAGTTTCTCAAGAACCTCGCAACCAAGGTACGGCCTCTCAACGCCCTTCTTAAACAAGGTGTCCTCTTCAAGTACACCCCGAGCATGATCAAAGTTGTCAAGACGTTGTTGAGCGAACTCACGCGCCCTCCGATTCTAGTTTTTCCTGATTGGGCGGCGGTCAAAGACAACAGCCGTCCTCTCCGGTTATGCTCTGACGCGTGTATCGATGGCTTCGGCGCCTCTTTAGAACAAGAACAACTGGATGGCTCCGTGCGCCCCATCGTATACATCAGCCGTGCTACCCTCCCTGCGGAGCGCAACCGGACCGTTTTGGATCTGGAGGCTGGTGGGATTGTTTGGGCAATCAAACGCCTTCGCGGCTATCTGTGGTCGACCAAGTTCGTCATCTACTCGGACCACAAAGCCTTAGAGAGCATCGGCAAGGTGGGGGAACACAACGCACGGGTGCAACGATGGCTCGAGTTTCTGTCCAACTTCACGTATACGCTGAAGTATCGGAAAGGTTCAGCGAATGGTAACGCCGATTTTCTTTCGCGGATGCCTTTGCCGGCACAAGACACGGACAAGACTGGCCAGGATTGCATTGATGGTGTTGACCACGCGGGTGTGGTTCTCATTCGAGGTTGCGGGCTTCACTACCACTCGTCCTCCACGCCGGACGTCGGTTTGGGTGGGCTCACCCCTCCTTGCTCTGCCGGAGTCTTCTCGCCGCCACCACTACAGCCTTCCGACTTTGGAGACTTTCGTCAACACGCCCAACGGATGATGGACGTCTCACCACCTTCGTCGTCTACTTGCACGGATCATCAGCGACCTTCGGGAGTCTTCGCAGTTTCCGGACTTGCCGGCTCTGCCCCGCGGCTGCCCTCTGTCGCATCTCGTTTGGTGCCCTCTGTTGCATTCTCAGCGAACAAATATGTGCACGTCTTGTCCTCGCTTCCGGAGCGTGGACCACTCATCTCCTCACGGACTCGGGCCAAGACTACCACCGCTTCCGGTGGTACCGTCACCGGCCCAGCTTACTTCGGACGTCAACCGCGGGCTACCATCGTTCCTCGAACGCCGTCGCCTGTCCGTCGCTCTAACAGGTTTCGTACAAAAACCAAGACCACCCGGGTCACCGCGCATTCGCCGCGTCCATCCGCGACGCTCGCGTCGGCATCTTCGTCGAATGTTTCCGCGCCACCGGCACCTTCGCCATCATCACCGACTTCAGCGTGCTCTGTTTCGCCGGTTTCGCCTTCTTCACAGGTGTCACCCACGTTTTCGTCTCCCGCGGCGCCGTCGTCGCG